ACTTAAGATAGTTATATTCCAAACCTTATGAATCTTTTAGTTCTTATGTCCTTTAACCATATGTTTAAAATTAAATATTAACTTCTTTTTTATTATAGCGAAGGCAAAAAATTGAGAATGAGAAAATACGAAAAAAATTTTTAGAGGCAGAAGAGAATACAAACATGACACCAGAAGAAAAGAAATTACTTCAACAAAAATTACAAGAAGAAGCTGATTTAGAGGTAGCTAAAGAAATGTTAGGTGTTGGTGAGGGAGATGAGGACTCAATAGATAGGATGCATCCTAAAACAAAAGAAGACTTTGTATTATTTGAACAAGCCCTTCAAAAGAAATTACAAAGTGTTTCAAAGTCTGAGTATTATTCAGAATTTATTGAAGAACTAATTAGGAATTTATCAGTTAATTGTAAGTATATATAATTTAAGAAAAATAAAAGTTATACTACATTATTTTTATTTTCCTTTTTTTAAACTATACATTCTATACAGTATTAAATTCTGATTATTATTATTTTTTGCATAGTATCTATGAATGATTTGAGAAAATTAAAAGCTACTGTAGATAATATGAATATAGAAAAAATGAAAGCAGAAAAAGGAGATAAAAATAAAAAAAGCAAGGGAAAAGCAAAAGCAAAACTTCGTTTAGATAATAGTAATGTAAGTATTTAGCATATTTTATTTTGGTCATTAACAATTATAAATTTAATCAATTATCCTCTGAAATATTTATTTATTGGTTATTTAACACTCAGTTTTTAGTACTGTTAGCAAGTAGTTGGCTAGTTGTAAAATTATCTAAGAAATATTTTAATTATTCAAATACCTTAGAATAATAACAAATTTTAAAAAACAAAATTATACAAGGTGAACTTTTTTTATGAGCATCCTACATAATCTTTATTCTATACAGGATAACCTGTATTAAACTCTATTACATACAGAATAAAAGCCATTTTGAAATTTTTTTTTTGTTATTTATAGTTGCATATTGTTTTCAAATTATCAGCTGTGTAGTATTTTTTAATTCATACCTTATGCTTTAAAATTCTCCCTTGATAGATAAGAATAGTTCCATGGTACCTCTACCATTCGTAAGAAGTGACTAATAGGGTTGCATCAGGTTGATAGTACATGGAGGTTATAACTTTAATGTGGAGATCAATGGCAGTAGGCAAGGACATGATAGGAGTGGTGGTATTGACAAGAATGTAAGACACGGGATTAAATGTGGGTGTTTGATGAAGTGTAGAGAAGTGTCTGGTGTGTTATGTGATGAAAGAATTCCAATAAGGCTAAAAGGTAAGTTTTATAAGACTAGTGAGCCCAACTATTATGCATGGTTCAGAGTGTTGAGTGGTTAACAAGAAAGTAGATCAGAGAATGAATGTATCAAAGATGAGAATGCTAGATTGATGAGTGGAGTGACTAGAACAGATGGGTTAAGGAACGAACATATAAGAGGGAGTATATGTATAGCGGCTTCATTCTTATATAAGATGAGAGAAAATAGACTTAGATAGATTGGTCATGTTATGAGGAATGATGAATTAAAAGATGTAAGAACAACTATAGAAATTAATGTTGAAGGATGAAGAGGTAGAGGAAAACCAAAAAAGAGATAGACGAATATTATTGAATGTAATATGATACAAATTTTTCTTTAATAGTTAATGGTGTTTTGAATTTTTCACATAATTTTATA